CGGGGAATCCGGTTCTGTGATAGTCGATAAACTAAGAAATGGCAATGGGTTATAAATTTGACAATATTTGAAAGTTCATATAAGTTCGTGGCTTGAAGGCAGCGATAAGAACGATTCCGGAGAAGCCCTTAGTATGAATCCGTAGCCTCTCCCTATATCATAGGTGGCANTCTCTGTGGCGAACGGTGATTCGTGGCAACTTCTCCATTGCTTGCCTGGTGATGTTCTCGCATCTTCGTACTGCTCTAAAGACTGTAGTTTTCGACACAGAGAGGTTTAATTCCGATCGGATCTGGTTCAAGGAGGGCGTACTGTTGGAAACAGTTCTCAGAATCTTCCGCTCGTCACGGGCAGTAATCTTTCATGGGTGTCCACAGTCGGTGTTATATCTAGGGACATCAGGGCTCTCCAGAAATCTTAGAATGGACCAAGGGGATCTCTCTATTTGCCTGGAGATGGCTCGAGTACGGAGCCCACCTTCATGATGAGCCTTCTCATCAGAAGAAAGCAGATGACCACGAGCCATGTTGACAGCCAGGTTTAGAAATGCATTTGCTACACATGCTTACCTTTACATGTATCTTCAACACGAAATTTCCTCTCTTCCATGAATTATTGTTCACTTTCTCAGGGTGACCTTATAATTATGAAGCGGTGCAAAAACCGATAAACTGTTCTTAAAAAGTTCAGAAAAATGCAGTGATGACTGCTCTTTCTGAAAGTGCAAAATTTGAGGGTGACCTTATAGCCATGAAACGCACTGTATTAAAGCACTTTTTGTCTTAATGAAATGAAAAAATGTTTGAACATGTTGTGAGATTGAAAAAATGAAAAAAAAACCTCTATATCCTCGGGCACGGTGACAGATGAGTACGTGCCGGCATTGCTGGGTCAGAAATACCACTTCATGGTACAGTCAGTTTGATGTTTGACACTCTTGTTTGTTTGTTTCTTGACTGACTTGCTGTCTTCCTTTAGAGACAACGTAATACTTACCCTCCTTGTTCCTACTCCCTCCCCCAACTTTCTTGCTTCGCAGAGCCTGAACTAAACGTTCTTTCCCAGTCGTGTCTTCAGAATAGACTGGCAATCATATGAACGAGTATTTCGGATGAACTAGGAATTCGGCGAATGAGAGAACGGGGAATCCGGTTCTGTGATAGTCGATAAACTAAGAATGGCAATGGGTTATAAATTTGACAATATTTGAAAGTTTATATAAGTGCGTGGCTTGAAGGCAGCGACAAAAACGGTTACTGAGAAGCCCTTAGTATGAATCCGTAGCCTCTCCCTATATCATAAGTGGCATTCTCAAATTGGAACTCGGTCCAGGTAGGATGTTATAAGGGCTCAAAGACTATATCGGCTTTATGCTGCACACGAGGACGAGATTTTTGTGTTGTGGAGGTTGCAATCATGCCGAGGGGCGCTCATGTTGGAAATCCAAACAATTGATTATGACCTTGGTCAGATCCATGGTGACATCGAAAGAAAGTTTTGGACATTTTTGGGTAACGGAACTTCTCCCCTATCGCGGCATTCTCCTTTGCGGCATGCGGCAAATGTCACTGCAATTACCGTACTCACCTCGCCTCCCGCCAATCGATAGGACGCGATATTTTTCGTTGATTGGCTTGCTTTTTCATTGGATTTGATCGTTTTTTCTTCTGTTTCTTTTTAGTTTCCATGTTTATTAGACTTGATTAATTAAAATGACTCCTCCTATATAAACGACGATCAAGACCGCAATGAAATTGAAAAGAGGGGCCTGCCAATTCAAATAATTAAAGGACTCCCAACTTCACAAATTGCGCGCTCCAATCTTCCATCGCAATCCTGCGATAGGCGGCGGGTGCGACGTGTGCGACGCCGTGTTAGGGGAGAAGTTCCCGGACCCGAGGACACGTTAGTGTACTGGCATGGATAGACCAGACTGAAAAAGGTCCCGCCACTGAACTCACAAGCCCACTTCATTTCGATTCACAATCTTTCGAAAAGAAAAATGAAAAAGATCTACTAGAGTAGGCAATGGATATGAGAACCTCAGTGAGCTTTTGAAAGGTTTACCTCTTTCAATACGAAGACATCTGGAAGCGTTCCAAGGTCTGCAATATTACATGACGACAGAGGATT